AAAAAAAAAAAAAAAAAAGTGGTGGTGGTTTTGTGAGGTCCAGACAAGATGCTGGTCTCAAGGCCTCAAGGCCGCACTGGCGAGCACTCACTGGGTAACGTGTTATTCCAGCAGGGGACGGGTGTTCTGACGATAGAGGGGATAAGCCTGGGGATGCTGGCTTCCTTACTTTGGAACTTCTCAGAGCAAACACTGCCAGCCCCCAGCCCATCCCCACATGGCACCTCAGCTGATCTTTCTGAACGGGTCTCAGCTCGTGCATGTGCCCCTACCAAAAACCCTGCAACAGCTTCCTAGGCACAGAGAATAAAACCACACATCCAGCTCCTGCAAGATCTGACCCTGTATTCTCTGTGACCTCCTCAGCTCCCCTGCTGTGCCCCTTTGTTGTGGCTTTAGCCAACACTGCCTCCCTGGTGCTCCTCAAACTCATCCAGCTTGGCCCGGGCCAGTCCCCTGCCTCTAGGTCTCAGGACACTCCCTCCCTGCACTCAGACGCCTTCCCTGAGCACCCATCACTCTTCACTCCCCATCCGGCTCTGACTCCCTTCCTGTGGCTGTACACAGTTGGCTCCAGTGCAACCCCAGCACCCGCAGGGGAAGGCGCTCAGCTGAACTAGTAGATGAACGGGAGAGGCTGGTGCCAGGGACCAACGTTGAGAATTACCTCCCTGCCATGGCGGCCTCCAGTGGGCCAGCAGGCACCCAACCTATCGCCAGAGGTCACCCTGGGCTTCCTTCAGCCCAGCACCCCACAGCAGGTCCCCCAAGGTCCCTTCCACGGAGAGGTGGATACCCCTACCCCCTAGAGGCTGACCCTGCCACTGACGCCCAAGTCCTCAGTTATGCACTTCTGATTGTGCGGATGGAACTTAACACCCTCCTCCTGCAGGGCACTGTCCACCCTTGGCTGGACCCATGCAAGACCCTGGAGCCCAGGGCTCTGCTCTCCCAGCCCCACACGCAAGCGGCTCTGGGATGGCAAACACGGCCTCTCCACGGAAACCTCCAGGCCAGAAGAAGGGAGGCCTGGGAGGCCACTACATCTTGGATAAAATTGTGTCCCTCCCAGGACCTGAAGGGGCGGGGAGTGATGATCAGAGCCCAGACCTGGTCCCCAGGGTGGGTTGACCCTGACCCTGACCCTGACCCTGACCCTGGACAGCGAGACCAGAGCCCATGCGCAGAGCAGAGCCCTCCACTTGTCCACGGGGCAGCTCCCATCTCCCCAGTCCCCCTAGGGCTTAAGGCAGCCGGGCCAGAGATGCTAGGACTGGACTCCATGTTGTCCTGGGGACCGGAGGGCAGTGGAGGGAGGTGGAGGGGGTGGAGGTGGGGACCCACACCCTCAGGCACGAGCCTCTCCTCACCTGCGCGGGCCCCGGACCCCCCTCACCTGTGGGCACCCTGGATCCTCCTCCCCTCACTTCCCCCGGACCCCTCCCTCAATTGCGCGGGCCCCGGATCCCCATCACTTCATCACTTGACCAGGACGTCCCACCCGCGCGGGCTCCGGACCCCCCCCAACTTCCGCGCGCCCTGCAACCCCATCCCTTGCCCGGGCCGGACCCCTCCCTCAATTGCGCGGGCACCAGATACCCCCTCACCTGTGCGGGCCCCGGATCCCCATCACTTCATCACTTGACTAGGACCTCCCACCCGCGCGGGCTCCGGACCCCCCCCAACTTCCGCGCGCCCTGCAACCCCATCCCTTGCCCGGGCCCCCT